CCCCAAAACCCCAAAACCCCAAAACCCCAAAACCCCTTTACAAGTGATAATAATTGAAATTTAATAACTATATCATATTAAGCATTATTTTTATTTTTATTTCAGAATCCTTAATTTGATGAGTAAAACTTTCTTAAAGCACTTATTTACAACTTTCTTAATCCCATGAATCCTTCTGAAGTACTTTCTCCCTTAAAGCTGACTGAGATCCTTGCTCTAGCTGGCAAGGCTACAAAATCAATGAGTGTAAGACCTGTTATGTTACCCTCTTTATGCTTATTTGAGCTCTTCAGCTTTCCTGAGCTATGATGTATAACATACGATGCATTATTCACAGCAGAGAGTCATGGCTCTCCATTAACTAAGAGTTGAACAGTTGGCTTCTTTTTTGAGAAGAAGCCGAAAGTAATTTCATACAACCCTGGTGCGACTGTCATTATGTTAGCTTTATCTTGCTCCCACAAGAAGTTCTCTGGGCATGTGTTTATACTTTCAATTTCCCATGGAATTGCGAAGCCACTCTTAAGATCTCCACTCTTCCAGATCCATCTGGCTACACAGTTCTCTGCACAGAGTGCTTGGTTTATCTCGGTTTGCATCTTAGTATGACTTTGAAGTTCTTCAACGTTTGACTTAGTGTCAAGTTCATTATGAACTTCAGTAAGTGCTTTATTGACATCATCAATGCTTCACTTCTGGCTAATAAGATCTCGGGCATCGATATCATTCATTTTACCTCCAAGGTCGTTCTCGATGTTCTCAAGTATCTCTCTGATCTTCTCTCTTTCGTGCTCAAAGTCAGCCAGATCGGTCTTCTTCTCAGTTATTGAGTAAAGATTCCTTATGTCTTTGATCAGATGACTATTTGATTCTTCAAGCTCAGAGGTAAGCTCATTCTTAGTCACAAGGTTAGCAATCCTTGCTTCAAGGTCTTGTGAGTCGATCTTGCTCTCCAAGTTAGGAATTAAGGAGCCATTTAGTTCGTCTATAGTCTTTAATACTTCTTCTTTGGATGAATCTATACGATTGATAGCGTCATTTTGGCACCCTGTAATAGCTCTTTGGACTTCTTCAACATCGACCTTATTCTCAATAACTTCAGAGGTATTCTGTTTATACTTATCAAATTCTTGAACAGATAAGGAATTATCTAATTTATGTGAGATCTCTGTTCTAAATGACTCAAGGTTGTTTTCCATACGACTGAGCTCATGACCCATCTCCTTCCTTGAAGACTCATACATGTTCTTTGAGTAAGCAATTGTGTCTTTCTCTACACCAATAGAGATCTGTCTAAGCTCTTCTATTTCTTTTCTAGTGATGTGAATATCTTCAGCTATTTTTGCTGAAGAGATCTCAGCTCTGCTAGCCTTTTCTAGAAGACTATCTTCATATTTCTTTTGCCCTTTAGCAAAATCCTCTTTGATCTCGTTCATAGCAATGTATAGATCTGATTTAGCCTTGTTGATCAGTTCAATGACTGACTCTGTATTGAGCTTGGTGATCACTTCTTCATTCAGTCGATCTATTTCAGAGAGATCAGCCTTCCTGTTAAGAGTCTCGATACAGGAGGTCCTCATTGTTTCAATTTCCATCTGAACAGTCTTGAGGACTTCTGATGTCTCTTTTTCAATAAGGTGAATTCTTCTGTCAAAATCTTTCTTCTGTGTATTTACAGCTGAGAGGTACATATCTATCTCTGCTTTATCAGCTTTTCTGAGAATAATATCCTCAAGTTCTTTGAAATGGTCAATCTTTACTAGAGTTTCTTTCTGTTTGCTAAAGCCGATAATTTGGGAATGCTCAACGTCCTTCTTAAAGTTGTCAAGGATTTCATGAAGATCCTTTTTATCAACTTTGAGTTCTAGAGCATCATCTACTTCCCCTTTATTAGCTTTGCGATGTAGTGCACCTGCAACTGTTGATTTGTTGGCCTTTTCACTGAAGCTTTCATTGACATCATTCAAGTCTGCCTTCAGTTCTAACTGAACTAGGACATTTGAAAGATCTTTTTGAAGTGCATAAGTTTGTTGTTTAGCTTTGAAATCATCAAAGTATTGCTCAATTTTACGATCAAGAGACTGAAACTTCTGATTTACTTCATGCACATTGGATTTATTCTCCATCAAGGATCTCATTTCGTCAATCGAGACTTTATTTGTAAGTAAATATTGTAGTTCAGATTTGCCCATTTTGTCATGAACCATAGCATTGACTTCCTCAAGGGAAGCTTTATACTCTAACTGAGATGCTACCTCCGTGATGGCATTGCTCACATCAGAAATATTAGCCTTAGTGTCAAGGGCGGAATTGATTTCCGCCTTATTAGCTTTGGTTGCTAAAGTTTTCTCAAGGAACTTTATAGACATTCCTTGATCCCTAATCACTTCACATAGGGCTTTAAGAGTCATTCTGATAATATCCTGAATATTCCTCCATTCCTCAGTCCCATTTAGTAAATCTTGGACTATATTCGGGAAAATCTCAGAATGAGCATTATTCTCCTTGATCCCAGGATGATAAGAAGGGATGCCATAATGTATAGAATTACTGACATTGCTCTTATTAGGACTCAGCACTGAGTACTCCTCCCCTGTGCCTTGAGAGCCAGCAGTATATGAAGGTTTATGATAATTGTCCATTTTTGCCTCAAAATTTTAAATTTAAATCCCTCAAATGGGGTTTTGGGGTTTTGGGGTTTTGGGGTTTTGGGGTTTTGGGG